AGGAAAGAACAAAGGCAAAATTCATCTATTTCAAAACCCTCCCAGGACTATTCAGCGGAGGCCTTCGCCTTTCATTGTCTAAAGCAGCAAACGTTTTCTATAAAGAGCCAGAGAGTAAATATTGTAGATTTTATGAGCCATATATGGTCTCTGCAGCATATTCTTTTATATATATATATTTTACAACTTAAAAAAATGTAAAAACCATTCTTATCTCACGGGCAATAGTTTCTCAGCACCTGGTCTAGAACTATTCACATGCCCACCAGTCTCCAGCCACGGTGCAGTGTGCTTATGCTTGGCTTAGACCAACCACCCAAAACTGGTGTTCCAGAAGCACCTGCCAGAGACATGTTGGTGGCACTTCGGGCTGTCAGATGTCTACTTCCTGCCGCAGGAAGGAGCCACTGGCTGCCAGTTCTTCCCTTCCAAGGACACGAGCAGAGCCCACCTGCAGGCCTCTGTGGAGACGGGTCCCACTGCTCCTTAGGACTGGGAGCAGCGGAGGGGAGCACCTGCTAGTTCAAGGTTCTCCTGGACTTTTTATTACCAGACAGGCTTACGGCGCCGCCTCCTACCTCAGAGGTGAACAGAAGGCCGGATGTGCACCAGAAACATGCAGAGTCTCTGCCAAGGTCTTAAAAACTAGTCCAGGAGGCACGCCAGTCATGGGCTCCCACGGCGTTCCCGGCGCGTCCCCATGCCTTGCCGTAGCCCGGTATTGGGGGCAGCAGGCCCGTTCGGGTAGCCCGTGCGTGAGGCCCTGGCAGAGAGGCAGTCCCTACTCCCACAGGCAGGCAGCCCTGTCCGGAGAGACGAGCACAAAGATATAAACAACTAGAGGCAGAGGTGCCGAGGTGAAGTATAGCAGGGACTATGTGCATATAGATGACCGGGCCACAGCTCGCTATGCAGGGACCTCTACGTAGGGCCTGAGAAAGAGACGGATCCATGCCAAGGATCCAGAGAAGCACACTCTCACGGGAGTAGCACGTGTAAAGGTCCTGGGGCACTGAGGTTTGGAATATTCAAGGAAGTGAAGGGAGACATATGTAGCAGTGCCCATGGGGTGCCTGGGGAAGGGGGAGGCAGAGGAGGGGACCAGCATAAGAAGGTGAAGTATTGGAGGCCAGATCGTGAAGATCCCATAGACCACGGTTAGGAGTTTATACTTTCTTCTAAAAGCAGTGGGAAGCCATTGAAGGGTTTTTGAGCAGGTGACTTGATTTATGTGTTTTAGACAATTAACATTACTTACGTTGTTGAGGTGTTTCATATTAGTGTGGCGGAAACGCCAGACCAGAATTCCCGTCCCTTTTGAACATTAAAACACTCGCCCATCCTCCTGTCCCCTCCCCGTGGTCCCCTGGAGCCTGCTCTGAGGAGGAGCTAATGTCAAGGTCACTCCCCGTCAGACCCCATGGAAGTGCCGTCCCCACCACCCTCAAGCTGGGGACTCTCCTCACACGGGGACACCCTGTACCCACCATGTTTCCCCAAAGCCTCTGGATGGGGACAGGGTGCCCCAGGGGAGTGGGAAGTGGTGGGGCAGGTGGAGGGCACATTGTTGTTGAAGCTCACCTGGTTCTCAGGTAAAGTCAGAACCCTCCCGCCCCCACCGGGAGTGGTGACAGCCATCG